ACCGGAAACAGCAGAGCCCTCTGTTCGACATTAAACATTTGCCCCCTCGGTTTGTGCTGTCTTTGATGTCGCCGTTACTGCGGCGAGGACTGAAGCGATGCCTGGCCATTAGGCCTGGCATATACCTAGGCCTCAGGCTTCATATTTGTTCGTAGTTATTTTTTGTTTAATTGGAATTATTAACTTGCATTTCATTCATTACATTTCAAGTGTATAAACACCATCCCATTAGTTTATTTACTTTTAAATTCAGGTTTGTATTATAGTTATTGATCTGTAGTTATATTTAAGTGAGTGAGGTGGTTGTACTAAGTGTGAATTTGAGTTCCATGTAAATTATTATTGTGTAAAGGATTTGTCTGTGTGCACCTATCCTGGCAGTGGTAATATGGGCTTTTTATAATTAAGTTGTTAATGAGATTGTTTATTTGTGTGTGTCTGTTATCTATGTCTGTGTCAGGTTACATATCTATGTTTGTAGCTGTTTGTGTTTGTTAATTTATGATGGGTGGTGATGATGTTTCTTGATAATGGATGGTGGTGATGATGATGGGTGGTGATTATGAAGGGTGGTGATTATGAAGGGTGGTAATGATGATGGTCGGTGATGATAACGTGTAGTGATTATGATGGGTGGTAATGATCATGGGTGGTGGTAATGATTGGTGAGGTTATGATGATGGGTGGTGATGGTTATGGGTGGTGATGATGATGGGTTGTTGTGATTATGGGTGTTGATGATGATGGATGATTGGTGGTGGTTATGATGAATGTTGGTTGTGATGGTTGGGTGGTGGTGATGACGATGGTTGGTGATGGTGAGTTGATAGTGATAATGATGATTGGTGATGATAATGGATATTGATGCTGATGATTATGGGTGGTGATGAGTAAATGAGCCACCACCCAATACATAACAGCAACAGAAGTAACTACAGCAGCAACAATAACAGCAGAAACATCACATTTTAATGGCTACGCAACTACTTCTGATTCTGCTGTTTCTGCTGCTCGGCTATTTGTAGCCAGGCCCTGCTCTCGCGGGACCCCACACATCTTTGGAAATGAATGCGATGATCATGTCTGAGCTGAGAATTAAGTGACTAAACGTTACTTTGTTTAACAATAACTGTGTGTAGGTTAGTATCTAGGGGCTCAGCGAATACTATTCATGAAAGAACTCGCACTCCTTTATGATCGACATTCTACTAATTTTGGTTGATCGAGACGAACAAGGCACGTGCCATGTCCAGACGAACTTTTATTTCCAATATTGTCCTTAAATATGATGCTAAAATAAACGTTAACACTGGAAAAAAACATGCACCTCTTAACCTCTGCCTCGCATTTATGACTAACAATTTGCATTTACACTTAACATACAGTCAAGCACAGTAAAATGCGAATACGACAATATTGTTATTCTCGGAATTTGAATTCGATTCTAACCCTGCACCCCACCCCAGTTTGCATATCCAACCCCCGGTTCGATGGAACGTTCGCTTTACATACATTTGAGCAGAGTGCTATTATAATACTTCTAATGAGATTTGAATACCGTACCTCAGTTTATGGTGTAATGAATTAGGAAACCAGTTTATAGTCGTTTAATGTTGAGTGTTATCGTTTATAGTGATACAGCTGAAGTCATAGAGGTGAAACGGCTGCAGTGTGTAACGAATACAGATAGGGCGTTGCAGTTGGTTCGTCCACCCATCGCGCCTCAAGACTTATGTCCGTCCCCACCCAGACAGCTCATCCCCATGTCCTGTACAGCCCAAGTCTGGTGTGTCCGACGTGGTGGGGCTCTCGGCAACGGAAACCGTACTCCAAAGGAAATGTGTTGTGCCGCTCACAGTTTCCGAGCCCCAGAGGCCCGGGGTGCCTCAAGGATCCGCCACTGGTGAGGGATCGGTGCCTGAAAGGCACAATATTCCATGATGGGCGAGGGACTGGCGTCGAGAACCCGGTCAAAATGCTCAAGGTTGTGTTAGTAGGCTCCACTCCCAACCCAGGAACGATGGGAAGGGTTCCCTTTCACAATGTGGAAGCGTTTGATATTTATTGTTGTGGTTATTGTGTTGGTTTGTTGATGTTGTCGAGTGAGTGTGGTCACACCGCGTACCCCTTGCAGTTGCCCGTTAAGATTGTGATTGTTGGGCGTCGGGGAATTTTGCTACAGCTGCTGCCCTGATGCACTTGGCTTCTAAAACATATTGCTGATGTGAAGACAGTGCATCTACTAAGGGACAAGCGGTGACAATAGGCTATAAAGAGTGAAAGAAGAGAAGGTGGGACAAAGGGTGGTGGTAGATTCACACCGAGAATAAGAGAGGGGGAGGAACGAGGTCCGGGGCTGTTTTGGTGGAATATCGGGTCGTGGCTGGTTGCTGTCTCGTCGTTGTCGTTGCTATATCGTGATTCCGGTGTCGTAAGCAGTGTTACAGGCTAAATAAAATAACCCTCTACAGTCTACAGAGTCTGGAGTCGTTACAATTGTAACGATTCATAATCGCACGAGCTCATAGTGGGTTTGTTCAATTATTTATACATTTCCATACTTGTGTATTGCTATTCGATGCCATTGAGATAGAACATTCATGAATCAGTGGGCAACTTGATTCTAATACGATGATGGTGTGATTCTAATAATTTTATGCGATTCTAAACCTGGCACCCCGCATGCCACATTTTGGTCTTCTGATGCGTATTTTCATATAACGTAGATTTGAGCACAGTGTAATTCTGGTGCGATAAAAAACGTAATCAGATCCTGATCCTGCACCTTCCGTTTCACAGATCCCACCCTTGGTTCGCACGTCCATATTACATACATACATATTACATACAGACATAATACATACATACATATTACATACAGACATGTTACATACATACATGTTACATACATATTACATACATTCATATTACATACAGACATGTTACATACAGACATGTTACATACATACATATTACATACAGACATGTAACGTACTTCTAAGAGGACTACGGAGTGATTCTAATAATTCGAATGCGATTTCTCTCACTTCAATGTATGGTATTCTAATCTATAACACTAGTTTATAATGTTATTTTTTTGTGTTATAATGTCGAGCTCATAGGTTTTAATGTTCGAGTTCACAACATTAGATTTTACTATAAATGTAGTTTACAGTGGTATAGTTATAGCTTTACAATGTATAGCTATAATAGTTATATTGTTAGAGTTTATAATGTTAGAGTTTTTGGCCGTGCCCTGTCCTCGTGGGACCCCACACGCATTTGGAAATAATTGCAATGACCATGAATGAGCTGAGATTTGAGCGACTAATGTTTACTTTGTTTCAACATAACTGAGTGCAGGTTAGTGCCATCTGGGCTTAGCGAATACTACTCATGAATGAACTCATACTCCTTTATGAAAGACATTGTAATCATGCCTTTTCGTGACGATTGTTACCTTCAATCGCGTCCTCAAATATTGTCGGGGAGATGTAGTTTGGGTATGGCGCTGTGACTGGAGTTAAGCATTCGCTCCTTGGCCCCGTCGACAGCAGCGGAGACGATCCGATCCACTGCGTTCCATCTCTCCACAAGGTCCACGAAATTCTCAGTTTTTTTAAATGAACGTATGTTGTTCAAATCATATGTAATATAATTATGTTATAATATGTGATTGTATATACACTTTATATGTTTACATACGGTATATAGCTATTCGATTAAATTAACATGACATTCATCCAACAGTGGACAGTTTGATTCTAATACGACTACAGTGGGATTTTAATAATTATAATGAGATTCAAATCTTGCAAATCCTACCCTCTCTTCGCATTCACTAAACATGCATATGGCCAAAGTGTGATTCTAACATTATCACAGTGCGATTATAATTATTATTATGCGATTATAATCACGAACCTCCGTTTATTTTGTTCAAAACTAATAATACCGTACCTCTGTTTTTGGTGTTATAAATGATGAAACTAGTTAATAGATTATAGTATTTTAATTATTTGTGTTATCGTTGATAGTGTTACAGTTCACATGTCATACTTGATGATTTGGGACTGTAACGTTGCGAATAGATTTCTAATGGGGACCTTTCCCCTCCAGGGACACATGTTAATGGAGAGACAGCCAAGATGCTGCCGGTTAAGGTCAGATTTGTGTGACGAAAATACTCCACCTGAAACTCGCTTAAAACACGTTTTTGCTTTGACCATTGTAAAATAAATAAACGGACAAATATTTGTTAAAATACGTTTTTATTAATCTGCAATCATTTTTACGTTAAAACTCCAACCGAATATGTATTATGTCCTATGTTCAAACAGTCACAGTACAATGCAAACCATATCCGTTCCAGGAATACCAAAGCGTTAAAGTGTCATTCCTCATTATTTCCTTATTAGTTCACCACATTTGTTCACTGTGCCTCTATGTTGAAGTCAAGGCCATATATCCAACGAACGCGTCATCAATGTACATCCTAAAGTCGATTATTACCATCCAAAAAAAGCTTTATACTTGAAAAAAAACCCGTTTAAAATGTTGAGTACAGATCTGACTACAGATGCATTCCAACTTTAGCTCAACAGGAAGACTTAAACACTACAATATTGTCCGGAATTGAACAATCTCACAACCACTGCTCATCACACCACTTCACCAAGTAATCCGACAACATCAAAACTCACCACGTGCACGTCAAGAAACTCTCAAACGAACTGTAAAACTAAAGGGTCAGAGTTAAACACACAAGTACTCAAGACAGCTTAATAGGTATAACCGCATGCAACATTATATTTAAGTCACCGCTAGCTCTCGGGTTGATCCTCGAGCCACTCCATTACATCCAGCCATCTCTCGGGATCCAACTGCATGGGATCGAAGGTGGAATTATCTTCAGGATTCATTGCAGCACCTTGAATTTCACCTTTTGATTTCAGCTTCCTATCATCGTGGACCTTCTGATGCCTGTTCCGTTTTGATGACCGTGCAAATGCCTTCCCACACACAGAGCACAGGAATGGCTTCTCGCCCGTGTGTGTTCTCTGGTGTCTCTGAAGATGTGATGACCGTGCAAATGTCTTCCCACACACAGGGCACAGGAATGGCTTCTCGCCCGTGTGTGTTCTCTGGTGTCTCTGAAGATGTGATGGCCGTGAAAAGGACTTACCACACACAGAGCAATTGAATGGCTTCTTGCCTCCGTGTGCGTGTGGCTGTGGAGAGCGTCTCTGCTCCATGTGAGCGTAGTAACAGCAGCGGTGTTATCGAGTCAAAAGTACGCTATCGGCAAGGATGTTTAGCGTTGAGTTTTGGATGTTGTTAACTGCTAAAACAAGAACGAGTTTATCCGCGAAAATAGACACTTACTTGGAGATTCATGGTATATCGATGTCTGTAACCCTTCTGAAGATGTCGCCACGAACTCTCCCGACCCAAAGTCGCCTAACTGTCGACTCAGCAATTGTGCTCGCCAGGCTGCGTTGTCTCGCGGTTGAAGGGCGATCAGTAGAGCGACGAGTCGAGCGTCCAACCTCATCAAGTTTCCTCTCGAAATGGCATTGAGCTCTGCTTCTGAGCCGCCTTATAACTCCCCCCCTAGGATCAAATCCTTTGTCTTTCAGGATATTTGCATTCGATTGTTAATTTTGGAAGGTACAATCCGCATGTCTATTAACAAACCGAAGGGTAATGTGCCCATTGTGCTTCATGCATGAATATGTAAGTGCATCTCAGTGTGTAATTGTGCGCTTATTTTGAATAAATGGAAAAACTTTGTCCTCGATTTAAAGTGAATGCAGAGAAATTAGCATGTAACTTTAGAAAAGGAAGAGAGCGGCCTTCTCGACGAGGGAGTGAAACCCAATAGGTAATATTCTTTTACAGCGTTACAATGGATAGGTTGTAGTTCATAGGTTATAATATTATGTTTCACTATGATAGAGCTTAACATGTGAGAGTATACAATATCAGAGTTGATCAAATGCGACGATCAAGGGCGTCAATCGGGTGAGTTTGATCAGAGGCTTTAATCAAAGGCGTCATCCCATCACGGAACACCACCTCCCTGCGTTTATTACAGCAACAGAATCAACTACAGCAGCAACAACAGCAGCGACAACAACAGCAGCAACATCACATTTCGAGGGCGACGCAGCTACTTCCGATTCTGCTGCCCAGCTTTTTGTAGTCGGGACCTGCTCTCGCAGGACCCCACACGTCTTTGGAAATGATTGCGATGATCATGTCTGAGCTGATAATTAAGTCACTCAAGATTACTTTGTTTAACCATAACTTTAGGTAGGTTAGTGTCATAAGGGCTCTGTGAATACTACTCATGAATGAAATCACACTCCTGTATGACCGACATTGTAATAATTTTGGTTGATCGAGTAGAACAAGTCACATGACATGTCCAGACGAATTATTATCAACAACAATGTCGTTAAATATGATGCTAAAATAAATGTTAACACTGGATTAAACGTGTACCTCTTAACCCCTCCCTCGCATTTACGACTGACGATTTGCATTTGCACGTAACATACATTCAAGCACAGTGAAATGCTAATACGACAATATTGTTATTCTAAAATGTGAATGCGATTTTTGCCCTGTACCCCCCACAGTTCACATATCCGACCCCCGGTTCGATTTAACAGATAATTTACATACATATGTGTAGAGTGCGATTGTAATACTTCTAATGAGATTTAAATACCGTACCTCCGTTAATGGTGCTATAAATTATAAAAACAGTTGATATTTTTATTGTCGTTTAATGTTGAGTGTTATTGTTTATAGTGTTATCAGTTTACGTGTTTTTAAGTACAGGTGATTCCCGGTATACTTCGGTATTCTGGACCTGAACGTCGCGAAACGATTCATAACGAGGACCTTTCCCCACCAGAGCGCAAGCCGCTAATGAAAAGAACTCGGGCCGGCGGGAACACGTGCTTCCATGGTTGGTCGGGGACAGGGCATGGTTGTATTGCCTACAGATGCCACCGGGAAAATCCAAGTTGCTCCGCCCATGGCGGGGTCAGGTAGAGGTCATAGAGGTGGGTGATGTAAAGACAGTGCATCAACTAAGGGACAAGTGGTGACAACAAGATAGAGAGAGTTCGAGAAGGGAAGGCGAGACCAAGTGTGGGCGGAGGTTCACGCCGAGAATGAGAGAGGGGGAGGAACGAGGTTTGGGGCTGTGTTGGCTGGTTGCTGTCTCGTCGTCGTCGTTGCTATATCGTGACGCCTGGGGTCTGAAACCGCGTTAAAGGCTAAATAAAAGAACCCTCTGCAGTCTGAGTCCGGAGTCATTACAATTGTAACGATTCATTATTTCACGGGCTAATATTGCGTTTGTGCGATTATTTTACATACTCATACTGAATATTGCTATTTGATGCCATTGAGATGGAACATTCATCCAATAGTAGACAGCTTGATCCTAATACTACCAAAGTGTTATTCAAATAATTTTAATCCCATCCTGATCCTGCACCTTCCGTTTCACATATCCTACCATTGGTTCGCACGTCCATATTACATACATACATTTTACATGCATACATACTACATACAGATATATATCATGCATACATATTACATAGACACGAGCATAGTGTGATTCTTAGAGAACCACGGTGTGAAGCTAAGAATTCGAATGAGATTCGAATATTACACTTCAATGTACGGTGTTCTAATCTTTAACACTAGTTTATTATGTTATTTTATAGCGTTCTAATGTATCGCTCATAGCTTATATTGTTAGAGTTCACAACATTATAGTTTACTATAACACTAGTTTGTAGTGTTATTTTAAAGCGTCGCAATGTATAGCTCATAGTTTAAAGGTTATATTGATAGAGTTTATAATGTTAGAGTATACAATGTGAGTTTACAATTTGAGAGTTTGTGGACGTGCCCTGTTCTCGTGGGACCCGACACGGATTTGGAAATATTTGCTATGATCATGTCTGAGCTGGGATGAGCGACTAATGTTTACTTTGCTTAATCATAACTGTGTGTAGGTAAGTGCCATCGGTGCTTAGTGAATACTACTCATGAATGAACTCATACTTCTTTCGGATAGAAATTTGATATCGTGTTGGTAGAACAAGTCGCCTGCCTTTTCTAGACGAATTGTTATTTTCAAGTGCGTCCGTAAATATATTGCTAAAATACACAGCATAGGGAAGGCTGCCTTGTTGGGGAGATGTAGTTTGGCTAAGGCGCTGTGGCCGGGTGATGACACGGATTCTGAAACAATGGAGTTAAACACTCGCTGCTTGTCCCCATCGACAGCATTGAAGGCTGTCATATACCGCGCCATTTACGAGTTGGCTGTATGATGTGTATAGTTGAAGGTGCTAGGTGTTGTCTTCTTCTAACAGCTACTAACGTGCCTGTGTTGTCTGTTTTTAGGATTTGTCTACTGATGTTGTTCTTTTAATTGCGGCGTTTTTATGTTGAGTTCTGTCACTTGAGTGTTGCAATTTGTTTAAGAATACGTCATGTGAGCGTGGTGTTTTGCTTGTTGGAATTTCGCTTTGTTACAATTTGTGATTGTTATAAAATCGTAAAGATTCAGAATCTCATGAGTTAAGAATGGGTTTGTGCGTGATTCTTATACGACCACACTGTGATTCTAATGCTTCTAATGATATTATAATACCTTATCTCCGTTTATATGGTTATAAATTAAAACACTAGTTTATAATCGTTTAATGTTTAGTGTTATCGTTTATAGTATTACAGTTTACATGTTATAGAGTACAGTTTATCCCCGACATACTTCGGGAATTAGGGACTGGTAGGTTGATGAGCGATTAACTACGGGGACCTTTCCCCTCAAGGAACACGTGTTAATCGCGTAGACAGCCAAGATGCTGCCGGTTAAGGGCACACTTGTGTGACGGAGATCCTCCACCTGAAACTCGCTTAACATGTTTTTGCTAGGAACATTATAAAATAAAGAACATTTGTTAAAAATACGTTTTTATTCATCTGCAATCATTTTTACGTGAAAACTCGAAGGGAATATTTATTACATTTCCAGTACAATGCAAACTATTTCCGTTCCAGGAATACCAAAGCGTTAAAGTATCATTCCCCATGATTTCCTTATTAGTTCACCACATTTGTTCACTGTGGGTCTATGTTGAAGTCAAGGCCATATATCCAACGAACGCGTCATCAATGTACATCCTGAAATCGGCTATCTAAAGTTGATTAATACCAATAAAAAAGCTTTATACTTGAAAAAAAACGTTTAAAATGTTGAGTAAAGATGTACCTACATACGCATTCCAACTTTAGCTCAACAGGAACACTTAACGACTACAATTGAACAGTCTCACAACCAGTGCTCATCACACCACTTCGGCAAGTAATCCGATAACATTACAAACCACCACTGTGCACGTCAAAAACTGTAAATGGTCAAAATTATAACCAAAAAGTACTCGATACGGCTTAATAGGTATAACCACCTGACATAATATTTTTTCAGTCACCCCGAGCTCTCGGTTTGATCCCCGAGCCACTCCATTACATCCAGCCACCTCTCGGGATCCAACTGCATGGGATCGAATGTGGAAACTTCTTCAGGACCAATTGCAGCACCTTGAATTTCAGCTTTTGATTTCAGTTTCCTATCATTGTGGACCTTCTGATGCCTGTTCATGTTTGATGAGTGTGCAAATGCCTCCCCACACACAGGGCACAAGAATGGCTTCTCGCCCGTGTGTGTTCTCTGGTGACTTTGAAGATGTGATGACTTTGCAAATGTCTTCCTACACACAGAGCACAGGAATGGCTTCTTGCCCGTATGTGTTCTCTGATGGTCTTGACAAGTTGACGAGTGTGCAAATGCCTTTCCACACACAGGGTACAGGAATGGCTTCTCGCCGGTGTGTATTCTCTGGTGACTCTGAAGATGTGATGAGTGTGCAAATGTCTTCCCACACACAGAGCACAGAAACGGCTTCTCGCCCGTGTGTGTTCTCTGGTGACTCTGAAGATGTGATGACTGTGCAAATGTCTTCCCACACACAGGGCACAGGAACGGCTTCTCGCCCGTGTGTGTTCTCTGGTGACTCTGAAGATGTGATGAATGTGCAAATGTCTTCCCACACACAGGGCACATGAACGGCTTCTCGCCCGTGTGTGTTCTCTGGTGTCTCTGAAGATGTGATGGCCATGAAAATGTCTTCCCACACACAGAGCAATTGAATGGCTTTTTGCCTCCGTGTACGTGGGGCTGTGGAGTTAAACACTCGCTGCTTGGCCCCGTCGACAGCAGCGAAGACTGTCATATACCGCCCCATTTACGAGTTGGCTGTATGATGTGTATAGTTGAAGGTGCCAGGTGTTGTCTTCTTCTAACAGCTACTAACGTGCGTGTGTTGTCTGTTTTTAGGATTTGCCCATTGATGTAGTTATTTTTATTGCGGCGTTTTTTTGTTGAGTTCTGTCACTTGAGTGTTGCAGTTTGTTTAAGAATTCGTCACGTGAGCGTGGTGTTTTGCTTGTGGGAATTTCGCTTTGTAACAAATTGCGATTGTTATAACGATTGTAACGATTCATAATCTCATTAGTTAAGAATGGGTTTGTGCGTGATTCTTATACGATCACACTGTGATTCTAATGCTTCTAATGATATTATAATACCTTACCTCCGTTTAAATGGTTATAAATTAAAACACTAGTTTATAATCGTTTAATGTTTAGTGTTATAGTTTATAGTATTACAGTTTACATGTTATAGAGTACAGTTTATTCCCGACATACTTAGGGATTAGGGACTGGTACGTTGATGAACGATTAACTACGGGGACCTTTCCCCTCAAGGAACACGTGTTAATCGGGTAGACAGCCAAGATGCTGCCGGTTAAGGGCACACTTGTGTGACGGAGATCCTACACCTGAAATTATCTTAACATGTTTTTGCTAGGAACATGATAAAATCAAGAATGGACAAACATTTGTTAAAAATACGTTTTTATTCATCTGCAATAATTTTACATCAAAACTCGAAGGGAATATTTATTACGTCCTATGTTCACACATTTCCAGTACCATGCAAACCATTTCCGTTCCAGGAATACCAAAACGTTAAAGTATCATTGATTTCCTTATTAATTCACCACATTTGTTCACTGTGCGTCCATGTTGAAGTCAAGGCCATATATCCAACGATCGCGTCATCAATGTACATCCTGAAATCAGCTATCTAAAGTCGATTAATACCAATCGAAAACCGCTATATACTTGAAAAAAAATAGTTTAAAATGTTGAGTAAAGATGTACCTACAGACGCATTCCAACTTTAGCTCAACAGGGACACTTAACGACTACAATTGAACCCTCTCACAACCAGTGCTCATCACACCACTTCGGCAAGTAATCCGATAACATTACAATCCACCACTGTGCACGTCATTAAACTCTCAAAAAAACTATAAAACTAAAATGGTCAAAATTATACACAAAAGTACTCGATACGGCTTAATAGGTATAACCACATAACATAATATTTTTTTTTCAGTCACCCCGAGCTCTCGGTTTGATCCTCGAGCCACTCCATTACATCCAGCCATCTCTCGGGATCCAACTGCATGGGATCGAAGGTAGAAACTTCTTGAGGACTCATTGCAGCACCTTGAATTTCAGCTTTTGATTTCAGTTTCCTATCATTGTGGACCTTCTGATGCCTGTTAAGAGTTGACGACTGTGAAAATGCCTTCCCACACGCAGGGCACAGGAATGGCTTATCGCCCGTGTGTGTTCTCTGATGGTTTTGAAGAGTTGACGACTGTGCAAATGCCTTCCCACACACAGGGCACAGGAATGGCTTCTCGCCCGTGTGTGTTCTCTGATGACTCTGAAGATGTGATGAGTGTACAAATGTTTTCCCACACACAGAGCACAGGATTGGCTTCTCACCCGTGTGTGTTTTCTGGTGTCTCTTAAGACTTGATGACCATGAAAATGCCTTCCCACACACAGAGCAATTGAATGGCTTCTTGCCTCCGTGTGCGTGGGGCTGTGGAGAGCGTCTCTGCTCCATGTGAGCGTAGTAACAGCAGCGGTGTTATCGAATCAAAAATACGCTATCGGCCGAAAGGATGTTTAGCGTTTAGTTTTGGATTTCGTTAACTGCTAAAACAAGAACGACACTCGCGTCTAACCGAGACGCAAAAAAATCCCGTAAATATGACGACAAAACACGTTTAAGAGTTTATCCGCGAAAATAGACACTTACTTGGAGATTCACGGTATATGGATGTCTAGAACTCGTCTGAAGATGTCGCCACGATCTCTCCCGACGCAAAGTCGCCTAACTGTCGACACAGCAATTGTGCTCGCCAGGCTGCGTTGTCTCGCGGTTGAAGGGCGATCAGCAGAGCGACGAGTCGAGCGTCCAACCTCATCAAGTTCCCTCTCGAAATGGCATTGAGCTCTGCTTCTGAGCTTCCTTATAACTCCCCCCCTAGGATCCAATCCTTTGTCTTTCAGGATATTTGCATTCGATTGCTAATTTTGGAAGGTACAATCCGCATGTCTATTAACATACCGAAGAGTAATGTGCCCATTGTGCTTCATGCATGAATATGTAAGTGCATCTCAGTGTGTAATTGTGCGCTTATTTTGAATTAATGGAAAAACATTGTCCTCGATTCAAAGTGAATGCAGAGAAATTAGCATATAACTTTAGAAAAGGAAGAGAGCGGCCTTCTCGACGAGGAAGTGAAATCCAATAGCGTTACAATGGATAGGTTGTAGTTCATAGGTTATAATATTATGTTTCACTATGGTAGAGCTTAAGATGTGAGAGTATACAATATCAGAGTTGATCAAATGCGACGATCAAGGGCGTCAATCGGGTGAGTTTGATCAGAGGCTTTAATCAAAAGCGTCATCCCATCACAGAACACCACCTCCCTGCGTATATCACAGGAACAGAAGCAACTACAGCAGCAACAACAGTAGCGACAACAACAGCAGCAACATCACATTTCGAGGGCGACGCAGCTACTTACGATTCTGCTGCCCAGCTGTTTGTAGTCGGGACCTGCTCTCGCAGGACCCCACACGTCTTTGGAAATGATTGCGATGATCATGTCTGAGCTGAGAATTAAGTCACTCAAGATTACGTTGTTTAACCATAACTTTAGGTAGGTTAGTGTCATCGGGGCTCTGTGAATACTACTCATGAATGAAATCACACTCCTGTATGACCGACATTGTACTAATTTTGGTTGATCGAGTAGACGAATTCTTATCAACAACAGTGTCCTTAAATATGATGCTAAAATAAATGTTAACACTGGATTCAACGTGCACCTCTTAACCCCTCCCTCGCATTTACGACTAACGATTTGCATTTGCACTTAACATACATTATAGCCCATTAAAATGCTAATACTACCATATTATTATTCTAAAATGTGAAGGCGATTCTTGCCCTGTACCCTCACAGTTAACATATCCTACCCCCGGTTCGATTGAACAGATAATTTACATACATATGTGTAGAGTGCGATTTTAATACTTCTAATGAGATTTAAATACCATACCTCCGTTTATGGTGCTATAAATTATAAAACCAGTTGATAATTTTTTGTCGTTTAATGTTTAGTGTTATTGTTTATAGTGTTATCAGTTTACATATTTTTTAGGTGCAGGTGATTCCCGGTATACTTCGGTATTCTGGACCTGAACGTTGCGAAACGATTCATAACGAGGACCTTTCCCCACCAGAGCGCAATACGCTAATGAAAAGAACTCGGGGCGGCGGGAGCACGTGCTTCCATGGGCAGTGGGGGACAGGGCATGGTTGTATTGCCTACAGGTGCTACCGGGAAAATCTCCCAAGTTGCTCCGCCCATGGCGGGGTCAGGTAGAGGTCATAGAGGTGGGTGATGTAAAGACAGTGCGTCAACTAAGGGACAAGTGGTGACAACAAGATAGAGAGAGTTCGAGAAGGGAAGGCGAGACCATGTGTGGGCGGAGGTTCACGCCGAGAATGAGAGAGGGGGAGTAACGATGTTTGGGGCTGTGTTGGCTGGTTGCTGTCTCGTCGTCGTTGCTATATCGTGACGCCTGGGGTCTGAAACCGCGTTAAAGGCTAAATAAAAGAGTTTGGAGTAATTACAATTTTAACGATTCATTATTGCACGGGCTTATGTTGAGTTTGTACGATTATTTTATATATACATACTGAATATTGCTATGTGATGCCATTGAGATGGAACATTCATCCAATAGTGGACAGCTTGATCCTAATACCACCAAAGTGTTATTCAAATAATTTTAATCCCATCCTGATCCTGCACCTTCCGTTTTACATATTCCACCCTTGGTTTGCACGTCTATATTACATACATACATGTTACATACATACATACATGTTACATGCATGCATGTACCATGTTACATACATACATGCATGTTACATACATACATGTTACATGCACATATACTTACTACAAACAGATATGTTACATACATACATGTTACATGCACATATACTTACTACAAACAGATATGTTACATACATACATGTTACATACTTACGACCGTAGTGTGATTCGAAGAGGACCACGGAGTGATTCGAATAATTCGAATGCGATTTCGAAAATCACACTTCAAGGTAGGTTGTTCTAATCTATAGCACTAGTTAATAATGTTATTGTATAGCGTTATAATGTATAGCTCATAGGTTATATTGTTAGAGTTCACATACTAGTTTACAGTAATTTGAAGATTCTTCAAATGTATATGTGAATGTTTTTAAGTTACCATTGTTGAAGTTCATAATGTTAAAGTTCACAGTGTGAGAATTTACAATGTGAGAGTATATCCAAGACGTCGATCGATGGCGTTGGTCTGGTAGGTTCGATCATAGTTTTTGATCAAAGACGTCATCCCATCACGGGACACCAACATGCTGCGTATATAACAGTAACAGAAGCAACTACAGCAGCTACGAAACCATTCGATGGCAAAGCAGCGACTTCTTCAATCTGAGAGTTTGTGGCCGTGCCCTGTTCTCGTGGGACCCGACACGGATTTGGAAATAATTGCTATGATCATGTCTGAGCTGGGATGAGCGACTAATGTTTACTTTGTTTAATCATAACTGTGTGTAGGTTAGTGTCATCGGTGCTTAGTGAATACTACTCATGAATGAACTCATACTTCTTTCGGATAGAAATTTGATATCGTGTTGGTAGAACAAGTCGCCTGCCTTTTCTAGACGAATTGTTATTTTCAAGTGCGTCCGTAAATATATTGCTAAAATACACAGCATAGGGAAGGCTGCCTTGTTGGGGAGATGTAGTTTGGCTAAGGCGCTGTGGCCGGGTGATGACACGGATTCTGAAACAATGGAGTTAAACACTCGCTGCTTGTCCCCATCGACAGCATTGAAGGCTGTCATATACCGCGCCATTTACGAGTTGGCTGTATGATGTGTATAGTTGAAGGTGCTAGGTGTTGTCTTCTTCTAACAGCTACTAACGTGCGTGTGTTGTCTGTTTTTAGGATTTGTCTACTGATGTTGTTCTTTTAATTGCGGCGTTTTTATGTTGAGTTCTGTCACTTGAGTGTTGCAATTTGTTTAAGAATACGTCATGTGAGCGTGGTGTTTTGCTTGTTGGAATTTCGCTTTGTTACAATTTGTGATTGTTATAAAATCGTAAAGATTCAGAATCTCATGAGTTAAGAATGGGTTTGTGCGTGATTCTTATACGACCACACTGTGATTCTAATGCTTCTAATAATATTATAATACCTTATCTCCGTTTATATGGTTATAAATTAAAACACTAGTTTATAATCGTTTAATGTTTAGTGTTATCGTTTATAGTATTACAATTTACATGTTATAGAGTACAGTTTATCCCCGACATACTTCGGGAATTAGGGACTGGTAGGTTGATGAGCGATTAACTACGGGGACCTTTCCCCTCAAGGAACACGTGTTAATCGCGTAGACAGCCAAGATGCTGCCGGTTAAGGGCACACTTGTGTGACGGAGATCCTCCACCTGAAACTCGCTTAACATGTTTTTGCTAGGAACATTATAAAATAAAGAACATTTGTTAAAAATACGTTTTTATTCATCTGCAATCATTTTTACGTGAAAACTCGAAGGGAATATTTATTACATTTCCAGTACAATGCAAACTATTTCCGTTCCAGGAATACCAAAGCGTTAAGTATCATTCCCCATGATTTCCTTATTAGTTCACCACATTTGTTCACTGTGGGTCTATGTTGAAGTCAAGGCCATATATCCAACGAACGCGTCATCAATGTACATCCTGAAATCGGATATCTAAAGTTGATTAATACCAATAAAAAAGCTTTATACTTGAAAAAAAACGTTTAAAATGTTGAGTAAAGATGTACCTACATACGCATTCCAACTTTAGCTCAACAGGAACACTTAACGACTACAATTGAACAGTCTCACAACCAGTGCTCATCACACCACTTCGGCAAGTAATCCGATAACATTACAAACCACCACTGTGCACGTCAAAAACTGTAAATGGTCAAAATTATAACCAAAAAGTACTCGATACGGCTTAATAGGTATAACCACCTGACATAATATTTTTTCAGTCACTCCGAGCTCTCGGTTTGATCCCCGAGCCACTCCATTACATCCAGCCATCTCTCGGGATCCAACTGCATGGGATCGAATGTGGAAACTTCTTCAGGACCAATTGCAGCACCTTGAATTTCAGCTTTTGATTTCAGTTTCCTATCATTGTGGACCTTCTGATGCCTGTTCATGTTTGATGAGTGTGCAAATGCCTCCCCACACACAGGGCACAAGAATGGCTTCTCGCCCGTGTGTGTTCTCTGGTGACTTTGAAGATGTGATGACTTTGCAAATGTCTTCCTACACACAGAGCACAGGAATGGCTTCTTGCCCGTATGTGTTCTCTGATGGTCTTGACAAGTTGACGAGTGTGCAAATGCCTTTCCACACACAGGGCACAGGAATGG